TGTTTTCATCTGAAAATGAGCAGTTTGGAACAAAAGGTCTCACCTGATCTTTCTGTTTCCATGTCCTGTGCTTGTGGGAATCACAATTACTAAGTTTGTGTCTGGGGTAGCAACAGCAATCAGAGCTCTTTGCTATACCATCTAGCAAGACAAGTGGGACAATAACATTTGTTCTGAACTCCCAAAGAACTGTTTCTGAAAATTATCTTAGAAGTAAAATTTCCCAAATAATTCCCATTCTATGAAGTATAGCTCTACCTACAAAAATTACCTGCATTGGTGCTCCTATGATGTATTGGCAAATGTTTGCAATGGATTCCGTTACTTCCTTCCACAAAAGCATTGGGAGGCTTGTGGTACACAGAGGCCAAAGAACCAATATGGCAGATGAGCTCATCCAGCAGAGTCAGCCTAGTAAGATCTGTCTCCTCAGAGATTAGTGGCTTCTCAAGCAAGGCTACTTATTTGGCTGTGACATGGTCCATTGAGAGGAACTGCCAATAAATATGGCCCCTATTTCGAAGATCAGGATTATTAGAATCCTGTGTTGCCAAACTCAAGGCCTGGTGTACCACCTCCTGTGTTTCTGATGGTTTCTTGAGAAACAGCTTCACTATGGCAGTGAGCAGAGTGAGCTGGCCCTGGGTACTCTCATCATGAACACCTTCCAGGAAGCTCTCTAGCAACTTATCAACATTGTTGGTTCCTTAAGCATATTCTCCCACAATCCAAATAATCTGACTTGAGCATCTGGCTCATCCAGAGAATCTAAGTGCTCATACAGAGTGTCCATGATGCGTTAACACTTGTTGGAGTACTTGTGTAAGATGTCCCTGATGACAACAGTCACCTCTTGGACCACATAATTTACTTTGGTCTGGATGAGGTCAAGCAGTGTGCTTACATGACATTCTGCAGATTGCTCCACCTGGATGGCAAAACTGGACACAAAATGTGTCCAAAGCTGCCTGTCACTACTGAGTCAAAAAGCAGAGACAAGGTCGAATCATTTATGAGTCTTTATTTCATACTAGAGGCCTGGTGCACAAAATCTGTGCATGAGTAGGGTCCCTAGGCCTGGCTGGCAATCAGGGCTGATCGGGGTCTTCTGCCTGCTGACCAGGACCTTTGTTCCATGCCACCTCTGGTGGTCAGCACATGTCATAGCGAGTGGTGAACTCCTGAGGGGACAATTTGCATATTAGCCTTTTATTGTATGGGATTGGTGGCAATATGGAGTGAGGAGTGGTCTTCATGCCCTGGAAAAATCCTGCCCCCTTTCTTCTGGCAGCTGGCTGACTATATAGGGGTGAGGGAAAATAACTACGTGCAGCTGGGAGTGTAACAAGGGAAGAGGAGTGTAATGTCTGCAGTCTGGCCTCCAGGAACTCAAAGTCTGATAACGAGGTGGCTAATCTTCTATGATGTTAAAAACAGCTTAGCCTGTTCCTGGAACCGGAGAATGGTTGGTGTTCCTGAGGCAAACTCCCAGATGGGGTCAGGGTCCAGACACAGCAACCAAGTCAAAGCATCTCCTGTCTTTGGTCTGCTTTTAAAGTATATTTCTTTTCTGAGTAATGGACCCATCTGGCTTCAAGGTTGCATTATCTTTTACAGCCCTGTTTTTCTTCTTGCAATACATCCTCCAGTTTCCCAGGGTCTATAAGAAAACCTCTTATCTATAGTTAGTAAGGTGAATAATCACTAAACAACTGTGGTCCTATTCCTATTACATGTCCTTCCCCATGGTACACTGTCCAATGGTCCACAAAGCTTTGTGAACAGTCAGCACCCACCTCTGTGACATATTCCTTCAGCTCTGCCAGAACCTGAGCAATATTGGCTTAGGATGCCAAATGGATCTGATGTCCAACTTCTGTAGTTTAACACAAATGGAATCATTCTTCACAAAGAAGTCTGTGACTTCCTGATTTAAGATTTCAGGCCTTTTCTGGACAATTAGGTTGATGTTTCTCAGGGCAACGTACTAAACCTCTGGCTTCCCAGACAGCAAAGTGACAGGAGAGGGCCAACTTCTTCAGCAGCATATTGTAGTAGTCAGATTCCTTGGGTAACAACTCTAGAAGTTTCACTAGGACTCTTACTGCTGAAAGCACCATTGCTCTTTTGAATGAGATAGCTGGGGAGTTACTTATTCACAGATGCTCTGAGTCTCCTGATCATCTCTAGGGCTGTAATTGGACAGAAAGTCCAGGATGAAAATCTGCCCTATTCAGTGACGTCAGCAGCTTATCAATGTTCTGTGGGTTCAGATCCAGTAAGTTGCTGTTTAGGTGAGAGTCACTGATTTCAGATAACACGCTACAGCATTAGCCACCACCATTAGATTTGAATCTGCTATGAGATCATACAGAGAATTCAGAAATTTCTGATCTTCCATCACTTGGGCATTGATATCATACATAGACTTTTGCCATGCAGATAGCTGCTGTTTTCCGAACATGGGTTTCTTCATCTTTCAAGCACTTGGGGAGGGGCTCATGGAGACATTCTGTCATCTTGTCCACCTGGATGCACTCCATGGTACTGACTGCCAAAGCCAGAATCTGAGGATTGGGATAATCACAGTTCTTAGCAAAGCTGTTGACAGCCACGATGCCATATCTGGCTGATTCTTGGCATGGTTCATCCAGTAGAGATACACAAGC